TTTGGCCATGGGTCTACCCACAGTGTTGAGTACAGACACTGCTAATTGGACAGCAGAAGTATTGAGTAGAAACCTGCAGGGCTTGGTTCATTCATTCTCATTTCTTAGTCACTGGATAATGTATATTTTTGGAAAGATCTTTGTTTTTCCTGCAGGGTAGGTGGAATCCTTCCTGCGATACTCTGCGGTCTTGCCACGTAAGTGTTGCAGCCTTACTGCAAACAGTGTCGAGAACTGGCACTGCAGGAAGAAGCAAAATGGGAAGGCAGCTTGTGTGGGAGAAAATAGTCTTGTTTAAAAGATGCTTAACGATTACATTCAATTATATTTTGAAACCTTTGTTCAATATATCAGGCAAATCAGTGTCTCTACCCAAGTGTCACTTGAAGGCAGAGTTGAAGTCTTGGGCTTTTTAATTCATGTAACATGATCAAGAAAAGCTTACTTCTGATCAAAGCAGGAGGAGCCCAACTGCAGATGATCAAAGAAAGACCCAAGAGTTAGCTGGTGTACTAAGAAACCAAATTTGTCTCTCACTAGCAAGCTTAGAAGGCTGCTCAGCTGAAAGTGAGGTTGCAGTGGGGGACATGAAGGTTAGAAAAGAAGAAAGTCTTAGTAAAAAATGGAAAATTGCAGAGTGAATAGCATCTAATTTCTGGGCACCCCATTACTCAGAGCTGTTAGAAATCAATCCCCTCTAAGCAGTTGCAGTTTGTGTGGTGTTCAGGTACAGAATTTAATCCTGGGAAAGTGTTATAGATTTGGAAGCTACAATTGATGTTTGAATGAACATAGAGCAGTGTGTGGTGTGTGGTGCCCAGTGCCCTGGGAAAACACAATCCTACATGCAACTGTGCTGTTTGTCATGATACATTTGTAGTTGTGTTCTCTTCTGTAAAGAATCATGAATTCTTGTGTTGGTTTTTCTGTAGACTTGTGACCTTTGAGGGATAAAAGTTATTTATATTTTATTTCAAAAGGAGAAGCAAATGCAGTGGATGGAGAGGGCATTCTGGCAGTGATATATCAACTCTGATTTATGGATAATAGACCATGACTACCATTCTTGTAAAGCTGAAACACAGATTTTTTCCATAGCAAAAGGAGTGAGTAGTGTAGTCAGGTTTGTCAACTGTCACTAATCAAGAGCATAAATCAAAATAAACTGCGCTACACCCTTGCTTCTTAGCTGGAGCTCAGACTGAGGAGGATGATGGGGAGGACAGTTTCCATTTGTGCTAATTAAGCTTTCTGACAGGCAAATATATCTGCGTTCACAGGGAGCTACATGTTTTAGAGTGGGAATTAATAGGCAGAAGCAGCTCTTAGAGCCCAGGGAGTGGGTGAGACTGATGCTTCCTCTGGGAGAGCGTGGGGGCCTAGTCTCCAAATGCTCCCAGCAGGACCAGACCCTGGCAAGAGGAGGAGCTGGGCTTAAAGGTCATCTGTGAGGGTAGAGGGAACCCATGTTCCTTGTGCTAGAGCCTAGTGTTGTGCAAAAGCCGTGTTCTAGGAAAGTACAATGTGAAGCACTTCTGTGAGAAGAGGTTGTCCCATGCTGGAGGGAACTGCCTCTGCTAGTTTGCCTCAGTGTCTGTAGCAGGAGGGGAGTTGCTGTGAAGCAAGTAATAGCATGAACACTCCCAGGAGAAAGAGAGGAGCCTTTTTTTTGTAATCTGTTGGCCAGATACTGTCTTGAAAATTCCTTAATGCTGTCGTAGCATCATCAATGCTTGCAACCCAAGTGCTGCAGCATCAGTAGCATTAAGACTCAGTAGGCTTTGCAGACAGGCTGTTTGCTTCAGTGTGGTTCAGGTCTTAAGAAGAACAGCCCAGATGATGATTATTCAGTGACTCGATTACACTGAGTTAGTTTCAGTTGAGCTCTCCTCGTGGCCAGCAGCACTTTCTCCCCATGTATTGCAGAATGACACCACCATTGGTGTCACCTGCCTTTGCTAGAGGAGGCACATGTCCCATTGGTGGTGTGTCATCCAGCCTGCTTCACAGATCCTCCCTCTGCACTTCCACGCGGTGCCAAATGCTGAATTCTACACTCCCAGTGGCTCTGCTGGAAAAGCTGGAGCTGCTGTGAGAGTCAGAGACTTGCAGGACAGTTCTGTACTTTTTGAAGCTGTAGGCTAGTGGAATCCGCACCTACAAGTGCAGTGATGCCTCATGGATTGATCTCCTTTCAGATCCAGAAGTGATTTACCTTTTACCCAGTCCCTTCCTCCTTAACCCTCTGGCTCTTTAGTAACACATCCTGTTTCATTTCTATTTTTGGTTTGTGCATTGGGTAAACAGGCAACAATCCAAGGGAATGGCTGGGGCACAGGAAACTTCATCTGCGTTTCATAAAATGATGTCTTTGACTCCGGTGCCATGGGCTAAAGCCAGCTGTTCCCTGCTGTAGCATTCACATGACAGCATGTGCTGTTTGACATCTGAGCTGCCGTACTCTAACTTAGCAGCAGAGCCAGAAGTGCACAAGAAAGATAGAAATACATGTTAATCTAGATTTTCGCTCTGCTTATCTGTCCTGAGGTACATACAAGGTACTGAAATCCAGTGTTAGACGACAGGTGAGGATGAGGTTATCCCCTGT